GTGGGTGGGTGGGGGGCAGGAGATTAGGAGAAACAGCAGTTATCCAAGGTTATTACTATCATGGCAAAAGTTCACAAGTGGATAATCCATGGCAGGTAGGATAAACTGGAGACAGGACATCGTGCTTGCAGGTGAACATGGGGACTGAAGGTGAGCAGTTTCTTACTAATTGTTATGAAAACTCTGCAATCCACCTAGATTACTTCTGTGCCCCACCAGTGGTGCATGTATCACTGGTTGAGAACTGCTGGCTCAAAAAGTTGTTTGCTTATTATTACCTAACAGTTTTGACTAGCGTTCTGTAGATTTGTGGTTTGGGTAAATCTAAATAGATAAAAGTACTAAGATTTGTTTAAATATTTTGGAATACTTGTAGATTAGTGAGTAAACATGGACTTGTTGCAGATATGGCATGGCTTATTATTTATGGCATGGTTATTACCTTGCCCTTGTTAGCCGCCCTGAGCCCATTGGGGAGGGCGGGATACAAATATGAAAAATAAATAAATAAATAAAATATCGCATGAAGCTATTGTTTAATTAAAATCTGACTAGTGGATAGTTTGAACTCGGTCATCCTGCTAGCCATTATTAGATTGGTTATCTCAAGCCAGGCTCTGAAGTGGCTTATTAACCAGAATGAGTGTTAACTGACATGTGACTGTAAGGAGCCCAAGTCTGGGAAGTGTGCATCCCTCACCTGTCACCTATGCTGCTGCCTGCAGGGTCGAAGACATCAAGGTCTAGAGGCAGTGCCTCTGAAGCTCTCCACTTTAGTCTCTTGTTAGATCTTTGGATTTCTGTCCAAGATTGTGCTGTGCTTTTTGGGTTTGGTGTAAGAAAAAAGTTAATGTTGAAAGGAGGCAGATTTACAGGGAAGGGGGCATGGATCTGTGGCCCTATAGTAATGCAGACCAATAAGAAATGTCTTGGTGATGTGGCAAAGCTGTCCCTTACCCTAGTGCCATAATGCAGCTGAGATAGTAGCCAGATTTTTGCAAGAGAGATGGGAGGATAAAAACAATGCACTGAAACTAGGATTTATTGAGGCAAACCAGGATTGGGTCTGTGAACTGAATCCTGGTTTTGCAAACCAACTGCAATTAAAATAAGCCACAGCTTCATGTGACATCGGAACCAAGCCACATTGCTGCTTATGATTTCTGTTTTCTTTATAGATTCTTTGTTTGGCTGAACAAATTCAGTTCACTGAAGAAGTAGAAAATGCGATCAAAGAACATAATTTGCAAGAGCTAGAATTAGAATTAATGGCTAAATTGGAGCACTATACAAGCATAGACACTAATACTGAAGATTCAGGCAATGCAGGTATGACAATGTAACCCTTCTTTACAGGATTTCCCTTTAGTTTGTTCTTCGCTGAGCAGCCCCCTTTTCCTTTTTTTCTTCTTTGTTTTTCTCTGGCTGTACCACCCAGACACTTGAAAGTATTTAGATATATGCTGACCCAGCCTAGGGAACTGAGGGGAGAGACTAAAATCTTTCTTCTGTCCTGTTTTAAAAATGGCACACAAGAGGCTGATGGCAGTTTAAAAAAACCCTTTTATTTAACTTTGAGGGGACATAGTCAGGTAAGAATCAAATTTAGACTTATGAGATGAGCAAGCAACTGGAATAAGGTAACTTTGTATGCAAATAAATGCCAGATAATTTGTCACAAACAAGTAACTGTTTCTGTTATTCAGAAAGTTCTATAAAACATGAGGAAAGAGATTTCTTGGCAGCTTCTCACATAAACTAGCCTAAGCTTCTTGGTTTAACAGACACTAAAGTTGGTGAAGGCAGAAACATTCAAACAAGTTCAAGTTTCCTTCCTTATCCACAGGCTAGGGATCATCCCCCTCTTTTAGGAACGATTTCCCTCAGACTTGTTAGGGATGGGCTAAACTTCCCACTTCCCTAACTCAGAATCCTTCTTGATCCTTTTCTTCAGATTGGATAGGGATCACTCCCTTTTCTAGGAGCTATTTCACTGAGGCTTGAATGGGTATCCTTCTTGATCCTCTCACTCCCTTAGTCTTCCTTCCCAGTCAGTTCTCAGTTCTTCACTGCCAACTCTGAACTGCCACTCCTAACTCACTTTCAATTGAAGAATTCCATTTGAATCCCCTGTCAGTCAAGGTTCTCACACCATTTGTTGTCCACCACAGCAGGTATGGAAGAAAACAACAAACGTATTTTCAAAATTTGAAAGCATATGTTTGGGCCTGAAACACTGTTTTACTATTATATTAATGAAATGGCTTTGATCCTGCCTAAATCTTACGCTGTCAGGGATGATGATTTTCACCAATTCCCCTCTTATACTAAAGACCCCGACTTCACTCTGCCCCTGCCCCTTCTGGAGGTAGGGCTCATCAACCCTTGGGGACAGGATTTCAGAAGGCATGATAAACTCAAGTGGTGGTGGCGGTGGCACAATTTTTGTGGCAAAAGTGCCTCTGGAAGCATAAAACTTCAGTTGGATCTAAATCATTATCAATATTTTTATGACTTTGCATTATTGGCTGCTGAAGACCCGTTTAGTATACAATATTTTACTAATGTAACTTATGATTGAAATGTTGGAGTCTTGAAAACTGGTATAGTATATAGTTTACTGTTGATTTCTTCACAACTTTGATGCTATAAACCAGGGCTGTTAGACATAATGCCCAGTGACAGCCCACTAGGGTTATTGTTGTTGCCTGTGGTACCCAACATACTTTGTGAAAATTACTAAGCTACCTTCAGCTTTACCTATTGTTAACATTCATTTTTACTTTAGATTTTTTTTTGGTTGTCATCTTGTACTTCTAAGTCTGTGAAAATTTAGTGATGGGAGAAAGCAGCATGACTAAAACAGCAATTCCTTTGTCTCTTTAAAATTATTTATACCCAGAATCTGGAATCCTTGAACTGAAACTTAAAGCCCTTATTCTTGATATTATTCATAACATTGAAATTGTACGACAGCTGCACGAAGCCCAAATTCATACTGCCGATGACTGGGTGTGGAAGAAGCAACTTAGATTTTATCTTAAGGATCAAAAATGCTACATTCAGATGGTAGATGCTGAGCTGCAGTACACTTATGAATATCAGGTACAATTTTCAATTAATTTTAGAGGCAGCATATTCTCATCGAAATATTTATAATACCTATTTATAATACCTGACGAGAGAGGAGGTCCTAAAACTGATAGACAACTTAAAAACTGAAAAATCACCAGGCCCAGATGGCATACATCCGAGAGTTCTGAAAGAACTCAAATGTGAACTTGTAGATCTCCTGACAAAGATATGTAATCTTTCCTTAAAATCTGCCTCCATTCCTGAGGATTGGAAATATCAGGTACAATTTTCAATTAATTTTAGAGGCAGCATATTCTCATCGAAATATTTATAGTACCTATCCTCCTTCCATCATTATTTGTTTATTTTGGTTACAAATTAAGTTTTTGGGAGCCCCAAAAGTGCAGTTGTCCCAGTCTGTTTGCTATGCAATAATAGGTTCTCATTCATAATGTGGCTCTCATACAAAAATGATTATATGGCGGACCTGTAAAATATTTTGGCCAGGATCCAAAAAGCTATCTTAAGTATTCTCAGTATTTTTTTTGTAAAACTGTTTTTCTTTTAATAGCAGCCTCTGCTCTGTTTTGAAGGCTATTGTTTATGCACCATAGTGGCTGTTGTTCCATAAGACGAAATCCAAAGCCTCCGTGGATACAAACTCACTTTGGATCTGGCTTTGGATTAGGGTTGCCAGGTCTGGGTTGGAAAAAACCTGGAGACTTTGGGGGTGGAGCCAGGAGAGGGCGGGGTTTAGGGAGGGGAGGGGCCTCAGCATATTACAGTGCCACAGAGTCCACCCTTCAAAGCAGCCATTTTCTCCAGGGGAGCTGATCTTTGTCAGCTGGGGATCAGTTGTAAAAGCGGGAGATCCCCAGGCCCCACCTGGAGGCTGGCAACCATACTTTGGAACCCAGCCCTTTTGTTCCCTCGAACCCTCATGGGTCTCTGGGGCCATCATCCCCTGTCTTCTTACTGCCATTTCACATCATGCTTCCACTTCTTTCTTTTCTGGGATAGTTATGAAATAAGGTGCTTGTTTGTTTGTAATGGCATGCTTTCTGTTTTGTTAACTACATAGCCAGTTTATACCTGTTGGCATTAATGGATAATTAGTCATTTGGAGTTTGCAATTTTATTGTCTGCATTAGGACCAAGCAGTTGACCAGTTTATGCGTTTAATGATAAAAAAAGCAACTAACGCTATGTGTATTACATCTTTAGGGTAATTCTCCAAAGCTTGTTTATACGCCGTTAACTGATAAGTGTTATCTCACACTTACTCAAGCTATGAAGATGGGCCTTGGAGGAAATCCTTATGGTCCCGCTGGAACTGGCAAAACAGAATCTGTAAAGGCTTTGGGAGGACTACTTGGAAGACAAGTTTTGGTTTTTAATTGTGATGAGGTGAAGTAGCCCTGTGTTTTATAACAATTTTGGGTCTGTTCAGGTGTTATTTCCGTATGGAGAGATCATGACCAGCCATTCTCTTTGTGCCTCCAGCCCCTTTGTCACTCCTCTCTCAGAGTGTTCAATGTAACTCTTGAACAAAGAACGTCTGTATTCAAATAAATGTGGGATCTTCTGATTTGGGTGTCATCTTTTCTGTGCAACATGAAAGTGGGCAAGTCCAAGACTTACTCCCAGATTCTCCATCAGTAGTTGCTGGGACAGGGCGGCAAAATAATATCTACGTATGAATAGTTAATCTTCTTTATATCTTCTCCCCAGCTCTTAATAATCAACGTAGCTTGTCAGATAGGAAAGCTGGGTACTGAAAGCATCACATCTGAAGTAAACCTCTCTTATTTCAAGGGCATTGATGTGAAATCAATGGGCCGAATATTTGTTGGTTTGGTGAAGTGTGGCGCCTGGGGCTGTTTTGATGAGTTCAATCGACTAGAAGAAGCAGTACTGTCTGCCGTATCCATGCAGATTCAGACCATTCAGCATGCTTTGAAGAAACATCAGCCTGTTTGCGAGCTACTTGGAAAAGAGGTAGAATGCAACATCTTACTCTTTTTGCCATTATTCTCACTTTTTCCATGGTGGAGAAAGGCTCACTTCCTTGAGTCAGTTTCGACACGCTGTTCCTTGCTGCCACTGTGATATGCCTTGTTGGTTTTTGTGTTCTGCTTGTGGTTCTCTCTAATGAACTAATATATAAGGACTTCATATTATGCAGAATTTCATCTTTGGTCAACCAAAGCAGAATGTGTGGTGGGAGTGAAGAATACATTGGCCGTCTGCACAGGTAGAAGTTAGAGCAATGTCCCCATCTTGAAGTGTTCAGCCAAAGACAGTGTTTTTTGGAAACTTGATAGCTTCATCATCTTGGAGAATCAACAAGTCACTGGTTTCTCTTCTTGCCTTCACTGCCATGGTTTCTAGAGCTTCTATGGTGGTCCACCCAGGAATGCTAGAATTTTCTCCATTGGAGAGATCTCATGTCTCAAGGTCTGGTACTGTACCCTCAGCTAGAACTTCTTCAGTTTACTGCCAGGGGGTTGAGTAACAGCACTGGATTAAACTAAGCTTTTCCGAAAACCTTCCATCTTTTAACCTCTTGAAAGTCCTCAGTACATAAAACACCAGGCTGTGGCCATCTCTAGAACTCTATGGTACAGTAGGAGGCAATGAATTTCATTTTCTCATATGTAAGTTCCTGAGAATTCAGAGAACCTGCCAACAATGGGATGATGATATTCTAATGCCAGCTTTTAAAAAAAACACGAAAAAGCTCCCTGGTGATGGGGGGATGAAATGGCTGCCACAGTGTCAGGGAAAATGGGTGCTATGTGGACTGGGAAATCTAAATCCCCCTCCCTTCCACATAGAGCAGTCATCCTGGTAAGCACAACTTTACCTTTTTCAGGAGAGGCTTATAAACGGGGGGGGGGACAAGAAAAAATGTAATAGAGTGTATTGGGTTTGTTTCACTGGATTAATTTCTTTAGTGCAGGCTGTGTTGCGGTAAGAATCCAGTACTTTGACAGAAGAGGTCAAGAAATAGTGTGGAGTCCTCTGTCACTTATCCAGTTGGGTCAAACAGGAAATTGAGAGTTCACGAATGAATTTCAGTTTCTTTAATAGTCATTGGCACATACAATTGTTATATAAATGTATAGCACAAAGGTCTTAATTACTCAGTAGTAATTTGATTTTATTAGCAAAAATGTGTCTTGAATTTTTTTTAATTGTCAGGTTGCAATGGATCACAATTCTGGAATCTTTATCACAATGAATCCTGCTGGAAAGGGCTATGGAGGCAGACAAAAATTGCCTGATAATCTCAAACAACTGTTCCGGCCAGTTGCAATGACTCGCCCTGACAATGAGCTAATTGCAGAGGTGATTTTATATTCAGAAGGTTTTAAAGATGCTAAAATTCTAGGAAGAAAACTGGTGGCTATTTTCAATTTAGCAAGGTCAGTATTTGGAAAGTAATCTTTTCTTCATTCCCGGGACAGTCTATCTACTTCCTTCTGCTTATTTTCTTTTGGCAATAGGTATTTACCCCTTTGATGAATATTGACTCCTCAGTGTGATAGCATATGTAGAAATTAAAGATTAAATCTGTAGAGAGAGAAGGTATTCTTGTGTAGCATTCTTGTAATCTTGCTTTGATGTTGAGCAGTATAACTTTAAAAAATGTGAGCTGGAAAATCGCTGTTCAGGCATTAGCCCAGTCATGAGTTCACATGCTAATAGTAGGTTTGGTGTGAGCTAGTAAGGTGTCATGTCAGACTAGGTATGGGGAGGTCTAGGCTCAAGTCCCTAGTCAGCAATGACGCTCATTGATGATCATTACCTTTTAGTCTAACATACCTTACAGGGTTGTGGTGAGGATAAAATAAGGGAAAGAAGAACAGTGTAACAGTGTAAGTTTCCCTAAACTCTTTGAATGAAGGCTGGATAAAAAAGAAAATGTATAACTTTTTTCTCAGTCACCCCCCTGTAATATAAGTGGTTGATAATACAGAGTCATTCAAACGGCTACTAGGGTAAAGCAGGGGTCATTTCGTAGAAAAAGAGGTGCAGGAGCTCATTAACATAACTCATTAGCATAACTTATTTGCATATGCCACACCCCCTGACATCACTGAAAGTGTGTCAGAAGGCAACACCCACCACTCAGGCTCCACTGGACTGTTTTGGATTGCTAGCTATTGGGGGAGGGGAATGTGCAGATCTGTCCTCGCAGAGGAGGGAGAGCTTGTACCTGAATAGAACTTGGCCTTAAAGGTGCCACTGGACTGTTTTGGACCAGGGGGCTGGGGGGGGGGACTCTGCAACTTACCTGTCTGCTTCTTGCTCTGAGGGCTGCTGGGAGCAGGGGGTGGGGCTTGTTGCATGTGCCCACCCCTTGGGCTCTTTACTGCCGGAGCTCCGCTCCTGTGCGCTCCTGCAAGAAATGACCCCTGGGGTAAACTATGCAAAGTGCTTTGAGGACTTGGGACTTGGGAAGAGTGTATTATACATTATTTGTAAACTCATATATAAGCAGCAAGTATTGTTTGCTAGTGATTAATGCTTCTGAAACTGGTGGAGACAGCTTGTGTAATCAGCCTAGATTTGACAGCTGTATTGCCACAGTTGAAACACTTGAATTTGCCAAAAGTTGTTTAAAGGCCTTGCAATTCAACTTCTGAAGTTTTCAGTGATCTCCTAAGTCTTGCGTTGCCTGGTTCCAGGCTGCCCAGCTCAGCCGGAAAGGGGCTGTGGCTCCATGGTAGAGCATCTGCTAGGCATGCAGAAAATCCCAGGTTTGGTCCTTGACATCTCCAGTTAGAAGGACCAGGCAGTAGGTGATGTGGAAGACCTCAGCCTGAGACCCTTGAGAGCTGCTGCCAGTCTGAGTAGACAGTACAGAAACGAATGGACCAAGGGTGTGATTCAATATAAGGCAGCTTTGAAACATATAGAATTTGAAAACAGTTTAAAACAATAAAAATGCACTTATTAACCTAAAAGATGGTGCTAGAGAATTCCAGTTGTGCCATTGCCACATGGGAGGGAGGGGGGCAGGGGATAGGCATGCCAGAAGGATGATAGCCTGCTTTTTTCCCACTGAGGACCCCAAGTGGCTTACATTGCTTTCCTTGCCTTCATTTTTTCCTGAAATGCCCTAACTGTGAGGTGGATTAGGCTGAGAGAGTATGACTGGCCCAAGGTTAGGGCATGTTCCATGGCAGAATGGGGGATTCGAACTTGGATCTCCCAGATCTGACTCTAAAACCAATACACTACACTGGCTGTCTATTCTAATGAGATTTACATGGGGAAAAGGAGATGGGGGGAAAAAAAAAGTAAGAAAGCTAGTGGCAAGTGCCCTATCTGTTGATTCATTTTAATACTTGGTTAAGATGGGTGGCCAAATTGTGGCTGATCTCTGCCAATATGAGGAGTATGTTGTGTTGGGCAGGGGGGAAGCATCTGTTTATTTCCAGCACGGCCAAGAAAGCAGTGTTCAAGCTAGCACTGGCAACAGCTACTGTAGGGGAATAAAGTTGAAGGAAGAATCCTCTGTCTAGAATTTAAGGAGTGTGGACGGGGTAGGGATGGTGGGATTGTTTAACCCAGGGCAGCTTTCATGGTTGCAGGCTACATCGAGTGCAGTGAAAGATCTACTAACTCAAGTTGTCTTTTCAGCAGCTTCTTTCTGCTTTGAGTGATAAAAACAGTCTGCTTCTTTGGTGAAAGCCAAGGCTTCCAAACCCCTCACCTCTACTGCCCTAACTCATTTTGGTAACCTCTCTTGGTCATTTAGTTAAAATCCCTGGAATCATCCATTCCCTACAGTGTCTCTCTGATTCCTTCAACATCCAGCAGTTCCGTAGGGCAGTTAAAACGGAGCTATTCCGCCAAGCGTTTCAATAAGAACTGACTATGCCAGTGGTGTTGCACTAGCACTTTATCACAGGATGTATTCGCTGGGATTTTATGGTATTGTATTTATATGTGTAACTGTTGGTTTTAAGTGTATGTTGGTTTTAAATGGTTTGTAAGCCACCATGAGCCGCTTCGGCGGGAGGGCAGGGTAGAAATTTAATAAATAAATAAATAAATATTGTAATTTATAGTCCAGGTGATGATTATTGGTTGATTTTCTTTTTGTTCTTCTGCCATTTAGTCATGTTCAGTTCTGCAGAGGTTAGGGATTTTCTCTGCATCTGATTGTTGTTGAAAGATGTATATTGTTGGCTTTTAAATCAGCTTGTAAATTGTTATTTATGTTGTCGACATATTGCTTTAACGGTAAGTTGTTTTGAACAAACGTTGTGGAAAAGCAGGATATCAGTAATTTAAATAAATAACTAATAGATGGTTCTCTTAAAAATTCAGGGAGCTTTTGACACCCCAGCAGCACTATGATTGGGGTTTGCGTGCCCTGAAGACAGTCCTGAGAGGATGTGGAAATCTGCTTCGTCTGCTGAAAAAAAATGGAATGAAAGAGACAGGTAAACATTTTTAGGCCTTCTAGAAGTAAATATTCATAGGCTTGTAATAACTTCATGCGCATCCTCATGATCTTAAATTCTTTTCCTGTAGGAATTTATTTTAAAGCATAGTATGAAAACATTTCATAGTTAGTTCTTTGGACATCCAGCATTCTATCATTCATTTGAAGAGAATTGGAGGATTAGCAGACCGTTCATGGAGATCTGATCTGCAGTGTTAAACACATACTTTGCATAGTTGGAGGAAGGGGCTGGGAATGGTGGTTTTATTTTTAAAATCCCTAATACTTCTATTCTAGCGGTTTCTAAAATGAAATGCCCCACTAGACAAAAAACAAAATTGAATGCTGTTTTAATGTACATACCATTAAGCTGATTGCAGACAGAATTTTTCCTGCAAGAAGCTGAGAACTTTCTACAGCAAGCTGGCGCATCTTGTGACTTGACAAAGTCAGTTCAGCCAAGGGTTTGTGACCCACCCCCCATTTCTTCAATCCAAAACTGGAAGTTTATTGAACTTATCCTGGATTGCCATAGTTGGCCAGTAAGATGATTCTAACTTGGTATGTCACAAGTTGTGCAGGATTGTGTTAAAATTCAGTATGATGTTAATAAGAACATTATTTTATTTCATTTGTTCTCTTTCTCTGATAACAGAAATGAACCATTGGATTTATGACTGGTATTGTACTCTCACATTTTATATGTTTCTCATTCCTCGTCCCCTAATTTGCATCTGAAATCTAAGACGTTGTGAATTTACCATATGTAGTGGCTGCAGTTCTCTGGTAGTACCAGAAATCAACTTGCCTTGCTGTTTCAAGATAGAAGAAATCAAATTGTGCCTTTTCTTTCTTTTTCTCCTATGCAGTTAATGAAAGCCATATCGTGGTCCAGGCTTTGCGACTTAATACCATGTCAAAGCTTACATTTGCAGATTGTGCTCGATTTGATGCATTAGTTAAAGATGTCTTCCCTGGTATTGATTTTAAGGATGTAGATTATGATGAACTCTGCAAGGCATTACATGAAGTCTTTGAGGAGGCTAATTTGGAAATCATATCTACCCAGGTAAACATCACAGCCAGGCTAATCATAATGCTGGGTACTTTAATTGTAACTACCTTGGTATGTTTTGTTTACAAAAATATTAAAAGAAAAAAAATCTTCTTTAAATAGAAATATTATGCATTTATGTAAAAGCAAAACAACAAGTGTTGTGGACATGTACTTCGTAATCACTTCAGTTGATTGCAGTGTTACTCTTGCAGATCTGTAAGATTAGAGGCATAATACTTAAAGGCACACTGTGTTTGTGGATAGTGGCTGAGTACAATTTCACAAGCCCAGCACAAGTACTTTATTTAACAATCCAATGACCCAGTGGTCCTGGACAGAACCAGTCTTAAAACTACCACCCTCTATTTCCGTCCTTGTATAGAAGCTACTGCTGCCAGAACCTTAGCCATGTCCAAAGTAATATTAGGGTCAGGTAACAGGGAAGACATGGAAACAAGGAAAACCTTGGAAGCCATCACTGGATATATCCACAGATCTCTCAAAGTGGTGGCCAACATACAATCAAAGAAAATATAAGATAAAGTTTCAGTCACCCCAGACCCACATGCACATAATCCATCCAAGTAAGGTAGTCCTTGGGATTTTGGACTCTACCCACCAAAAACAGCAGAGGGGAAAGCATTTGTGTAAATAAATAAAGTGCCGTCAAGTCACAGCCAGCATACGCAACCCCAGCAATGGGCTTCCAAGGCAAGTGAGAAGCAGAGGTGGTTTGCTATTGGCTTCCTCTGCAGAGTCTTCCTTGTTGGTCTCCTTTTCAAGTACCAACCCTGCTCAGCTTTCAAGATCTGACAAGACTGGGCTGTATCATGCTGCCATCCCTCCCTGGGAAGCATTTAGCATAACCAAAAGGTTAGTCCTTTCATACTTGGGGACAGGCAGTTGATAAAGGAGGAGGAGGAGGAGGAGGAGGAGATTGGATTTATCCCCCCCCCTTCCCTACCCAAAGGAGTCTCAGAGTGGCTTACAAACTCCTTTCCCTTCCCTTCCCTTCCCCTCCCCACAACAGACGCCCTGTGAGGTAGATGGGGCCGAGAGAGCTCTGACAGAAGCTGCTCTTTTTCAAGCACAGCTGTGCCAGAACTATGGCTTGCCCAAGGTAATCCAGCAGGTGCAAGTGGAGGAGTGGGGAATCAAACCCGGTTCTCCCAGATTAGAGTCCGCGCACTTAACCACTACACCAAATTGGCTCTCAAATAAATAGAATATGCAAGGGTTAGAGGGGATGCAATCCCCCCAAAACAGCTTAGAACATACTCTACAAACCCTGCCAAGGGCCAGCTGACTAAATAATACCTCCAGTGCTCTATCTAAGTATAGTCTAGCTCCCAGGAGCAATACAAATACTTAAGTGCAATTTTGGGCCATAGTTGCAATAATTTTGCTTTATTCTCATTGGGTAACTAAAATTCTGAAAATGTCTATTATTTGCTGCTTACTAATGTGAGAGGAAGTCTCATTTTGTGCTGTTAACAATGCTTCATGCTTCTGTTTTCTGCACAGCTCAAGAAGGGATTGGAACTGTACGAACAACTACGTCAGAGAATGGGAGTGGTTATTGTGGGCCCAAGTGGTGCTGGTAAATCTACCCTTTGGCGGATGTTAAGGGCTGCCCTTGGGAAAGTTGGCAAAGTAGTGAAATTGTATGCCATGAACCCCAAAGCTATGCCTCGCCGTCAGTTGTTGGGCCATATTGACATGGACACAAGAGAGTGGTCTGATGGCGTGCTTACAAACAGTGCTCGGCAAGTGGTTCGCGAACCACCAGGTAAGTCTGTGTCAATATCCCATTGTTTAAAAACATCTTTATAATCCTATGCGTATTTATGTGGAAACAAGTCTCACCAAGTCTGTTGTACGTTTTCAGGTAAATGTACATAATATTGCACCTTAGCTTGTTTAATGTTATGGCAATATCAGAATACAATTAGCTAGGTTAGTCTGTGGCAGCATGAAGGTACTCTTTATCATCTTTATGATAATAAGATATCTTGAAACCACTATTCAGAGAAAGCCATGAACACTACCTTTATCTGAGAATAACAAGTGCAAAGTTGGAAAACAGCAGTAAAGCACGTGTGAAACGAGGATGAATAGTATTAAAATGGGGAAATCACTGTCATGGCATTAAATGTTTGGTTGAATTTGGGGCATATTTTACCAAATTCGTGCATAAGGCAGTTGATGTAAACTGTGGTAGCTAATTGATCACGCTGAGGTGGTGTTAGGCTACCTACACTGGTGTTCAGCTTGTTTCCAGGACCAATACAAGGTACTGGTTTTGATCTTCAAAGCCTTGAACAGTTTGGGTCCCAAACACCTAAAGAATAGTCTCTGTCTGTACTAACCTGGGACTTGATATCTGAATCAGGGACCTTCCCTAGGAATCTAGCCTGAATTTGGTGGGCTGTGGACCCAAGGAAGGGTCTTTACCCCCACCCCACACCTATGGGATGCCATATCCTAGGCGTTGACTGACCAGATTGCATTTGGAAGCAAGTCCCACTGAAGTTGAAACTGCAGAGTGTACATGATTAGGATTGTTCTGTAAATTCCTGAGCGCTTCCAAGCTAGTTTAAAGACCTGCCTTTTCCAGAAGGCCTTAAATTTAGACTGAGGGTTTTCAAACATTCTATTGATAGCAATGACATAGAATTAGTTACAGGGCTGATGACTGCAGCTAGCACATGTATATCAAAGTTGCTGCAAAGGGCTCTTTTTGTAGCAGGAACTCCTTTGCATATTAGGTGACACACCCCTAATGTAGCCAATCCTCCAAGAGCTTACAGAGCTCTTCTTACAGGGCTATTGTAAGCTCTTGGAGGATTGGCTACATTAGGGGTGTGTCACCTAATATGCAAAGGAGTTCCTGCTACAAAAAGAGCCCAATATGATACAGACCATGGTGCTTAATAAATACTCTTTACTATAGAAGGGAAATGTATAAACCTCAATCAATTAGATTTATGAGATGTTGGGTTTTGTTCATTGACCCCTGGAATACGAAATTCTCAGATTCTGTGCAACCTTGTGTATATTTTTTCTTATCCAATATATATATAAAAATAGTTCCTATTGTTTGCACTGATTTGGGAACATGAGAATGATTTCCCTTACTCATTTTATTATTTTTTATTATATTTTATTTGGTTTTAAATTGTATAGTAAGCTTCAGGGACCAGATATGATAAAAATTGATCTAGGGATATTCTGAATAATGAAGGCATCTTACTTATTCACCCAATGCTTTGTACATGAAAGCAGTTACCCACATTAGAGCTATACTTCAATGTGAGAAACAGGAATCAGTACGCATCTTTCCCTTTATCACTCTTAACTGCAAAGTAAATCACAATTCTAATGGCTCATAGCTTTAATATGAGATGACAGTATATTGTTTTTGCTTATGAACAGATATTACATCATGGATAATCTGTGATGGTGACATAGACCCTGAGTGGATTGAATCTTTGAATTCTGTCCTTGATGACAACCGTTTGCTCACTATGCCCAGTGGAGAAAGAATTCAGTTTGGCCCAAATGTGAACTTTGTATTTGAAACGCATGACTTGAGTTGCGCCTCTCCCGCCACAATATCTCGGATGGGAATGATCTTTCTGAGGTAATTCATACTGACGTTTGACAAATGAGCATTAGAGTGCTTTACAGTTTCTTCACATATGCTAAGGAAGGGGGAAGTTTGAACTTGATTTAAACGTTAAATATACCTTACCATGAATTTAGTTTTATCTGCCTTTACTGTTTTCACGTACTATCTGCTCTAATCTGTTCCATTTGCAAAATAATCCATTTTATGAACAAAGTCCTTGCACAAATGTTCTCACTGTCGGTGGGCTCCACACTATATAAAGTACTGCATTTCTCCTCTTAAAGTTGAGTTATTAAAATGCAATTTAAATGTAATTCCTTTTTTTTAAAACAACTCTGATTCTGAAAGGGGGCATAAAAGTGACAACCAATTACTTCGCATGCCTAGCTAATGTACTGCATTGGAACAAGTAAATAATTTCTGTATTAATACAGCCTTGGTATGATTCTTAACATAACTTTTTATGTTGTTGTTATTTACTTTGAGTCAATGTGGATAAAATAGATTATATATCACAAAATAAGGAAATAAATTAGAGAGATTTTCACTGAAAGGTAAATAAAAAGCACAGACGCTTCAGTACAGTCAACAGTATGCATATATGGAAAGAGGCCTAGATTAGCTTTACTCAAAAGATAGGGGGAAATCCCTTGTCTAACTGCTCATTTGTGAGCATAATGTCTTAGCTGCACTGATTGTCAGTTGGAAGGTGGGATGGTGGAGGAACAAGTGTCCTTTTCTTCCACTCCCAACAGGTGATTGGTGCTGTCCCATAATAACATCTTGGAGGAGGACTTACTAAGTAAAGTTAATATTTTCTGATGGTGTTTCTTAGACTGGTGTTAGAGATGTGAGCTATCTACTGTAAGACCGTATGATACATAATTAGAGTAAAGTAAAGGTAAAGGTTCCCTTGCTCGAAAGCCAGTCGACTCCGACTCTAGGGTTGTGGTGCTCATCTCCGTTTCAAAGCCAAAGAGCCAGCGCTGTCCAAAGACGTTTCCGTGGCCATGTGGCCGGCATGACTAAACGCCAAGGCACACAGAACGCTGTTACCTTCCCACTGAAGTGGTACCTATTTATCTACTTGCAATTTCTTGCTTTCGAACTGCTAGGTTGGCAGGAGCTGGAACTAGAGACGGGAGCTCACTCCGTCATGCGGCACACTCAGGTCTCGAACTGCTGAACTACCGACCTTCCACAGCATGCAGTTTAGCGTCTTAACCACTTGAGCCACCGCAGCTCCTATAATTAGAGTAGCTGAAAGTAAAATAGGCAGGTATAATTATAACTCACTTATTCACAATATGTTGAGTTCTGGTATTTAATTTGATTTTGCAAATCTTTTACTCAGTCTGGTTATTCTGTTGCCATCCCAGAATGAGCTCTCTGATACGTGAATACTTTATTATAACCAAATGGGAACTGTGAAATTTATTTGGGGTTTAATCTGAGATATGTCTCATTCTAGTGATGAAGATACGGATCTCAATTCCTTGATAAAGTCTTGGATAAGAAATCAGCCTGAGGAATGTAGGCACAATCTTGAAAACTGGATTGGGGACTATTTTGAGAAGGCTTTAAATTGGGTCCTGAAACAGGTGAGTAACTTCATGTTTTAAAATATAATTTCAGGATTAATTTCTATTTGGCCAGGTTGTTAAAAAAAAAAAAACCTCTTACTGTTTAATATCTAAAAACTGAATGGTTTTGTGATGAATGAGAGGCAGGGGAGCAAGAGATGCTGTGATAGTTACTGTGATAATTATGGTGATGGAAAGCGGCCCTGCCATCTCTGTGGGTGGGAATGTGGGTGGCAAAACATGGTTTGAAGTCAGTTTTATCATAGGAGTTTTGCCCAAAAACCAGAACATTGCTGTATGATGTCCCCGACATGATCATGTCACTCCCAGGTGATGTCATCATGTCAGGGACATCCCAGAACGCCCCCCAAGTCCCTCCTCCAGTATGATGAGGGGATCTGGCAACCCTAGATATGCCATGGATTGTAAGTACTTAGTAACTTTCCTTTTGTTTATTTTGCTTAGTGCACCTATCCTTGTAGTATCCTGAGTTTATGCACTGTAAAAATATAATTGTTTCGTTAGATAGATTCTGCACAAGTCCTTACCCGACCTTGGCTATTTGTCGAGCTACAGTGATACACACTTGTGGAGTTGGCCTTGGGTGACCCACAAGAGAAGGGGCTGGATTTTACCTGAGGCAGTGGCAGCGCCAGTAAAAGGGAGGGCAGTGACAGAGATCATAACAGATGCATTACATGATTTTATAGTATTCAGAGTGTATGAAGGATTAATTCTTAAAATACCAAAAGCTTCTTTATTCTGAAGTGTATCAACACACACACACGAGCGCGCACACACAGAGACAGTTACCATTGTCATCACATGCTATGTTTACTGCAAAGATGTGAAGGCCCAGGTTTTTTCCATTCCCCCCCCCCCGGGCCTTTCCCCCCATTTTTTTGATGAAAAAATTGGACATTTTGGAGAGTACTGAAAATAGTGAAATAGTTTCTCTTTTTGAATGAGTGAAATGCTCTTAAAGACAAAGTGGGCATGCTGTAGATACACACACCTCATATCCAAGAAGCATTTTCGCACCTAGAAGGATACCTAATCTTCATGAGGGAAATATGCAGGACTCTCATAGCTTCTCAACTGTTTCATGCCTTCTGTTGCCCTTTTGACCTGATGTGGTTGACCTTTTCACCTCTCCCTCAAACCACTGTGACACAGACTGGGTGGAAGTGACTTTTTGCCCTACCTTGCAGGAGGGAGAAAAAAAGATCAGAAAGAGGTAGGGCAGAAACTGCACCAAAGCCTAAGAGGAAAACCGAAAGTTTCTTTGGGAATTAAGCTCTCTCTTCTTTACAGTCATGTGTTAAAGAGAGCATAGGTTACATCCAGCTGCAGTTTTTTCTCAAGTATTGGGTATATTTCAGTTTTCCCTGTACAATACCAAGGCACATATAACTTTTAAGTTCCCTATACATGTCAAATGTTGTAATCTTATATGCTAAGTAAGTTATAAATGATGCATGTTATGTTGTTAAAGAAAACAGGATGTTTGAAAGGACAGTAGATTGGATCTTGTGGGTTTTGCATATATTTCAGTTTTTCCCCAAATTTCAATTTTTTTTCTGAATAAAACCAGATTTTTCTTTTCTAGTGAATGTACATCTATTGGATGTGCTTCTTCCTTAAGAGGGTCTACTGTCCCTCCTTGGCTGAGAAGTAAGAAAGGGAAGAGGGTCAGGAATGAAGGGGAATAGGCCAATTGGCCAGTCCCCTTCTGTCTCTTCCTCTTGCTTGTCCCCTCCCCCCCCCAGCTATGGAGCCTCAGAGGTCTGCCAGTCTATTGGATTTGTATTCAGCCCTTTGCTGCAGGAGGTGTGGGCAGGTCTGTCATTTCTGTTATTTGAGCACATTGGGGATGCATTGTAGCCATTGCAGATAGCAGAACAAATAATTTAATACACCAGATGGAACATACTATGTGTTTTTTAAGGCTTATGAAAGTAATGCTTGCATAGTTTTCAGTGATCAAATATATATACTTCGGCTGCTCCTGTTTTTGCACCTAATTTCTATCTTAATATCTTTTGCTTACTCAAACAGGACTCCGAATAAAATTTAGTCCTGTTGTTGGAAGCTAGTTGATAGCCTGCTCACTGTGTTCGTTCTGTTCTGTAGAATGACTACGTGGTAGAGACAAGTTTGGTTGGAACGGTGATGAATGGCTTGTCACATCTACATGGCTGCACGGAACGGGGACAGTTTATAATTAGCCTGATAAGAGGACTGGGTGGAAATCTCAACATGAAATCGAGACAGGAATTTACAAAAGAGGTAACTCTGTCTAAATCAAAGTTATTCCAATAATTGCAGTTTCAGTATAGAATTTTTATTTTTCTGTAGCTCAAGATTACAAATATAGAAGAACCCTAGGTGCTATAGAGCACAGGAAGATGTTTGTGGGGCTCAGCAGCTTGTAGCACAATATTGTGCAGAAAATAAATACATAACATGCAAAAAATGTTCTTCTTGCCACTCTCATTTACTTAATAATAATTGAATAGCAACGTTCTATTTCACAACATTCTAAATTTGGCCCCTTTAGTGTTAGGCCGGAAAAACTGCCACTCAGAAGACACTGGCTGGGTTGACTGGCTGCTTTGTGCAGTCCCGCCCAGCGTTCCAAGGTTATTTGCATATGGAAGCTGATTGGACTACACTCCATTCCACACCTCAAACTCTCCCCCCCCCACAAGGCAGTTGGGATTTTCAGTTGCATAACATACCTCATAGGGGAGAGGAGAATGATGTCAGCTGCCCTTTCCCTAGGCAAAGGCTGTGGGGGGGGGTTGTAAAACTTAAGACAGACAGGCAGATAAAGGTTGGCTGATGGTTGCCAGGAAAGGACATAGGGTTGCCCACTCCAGGTTGGAAACTTCCAGGATATTTTAGGGATGAAGCCTGCTGAGGGTGGGGTCTGAGGAGGAGGAGGAAGAGGGGGACCTCA